GAAGCCCGGGAAATTCAAATCCTGGGCTTCATTTGCAATTGCGGTATGCCTACATTACCCCGCTAGTTCGAACTAGCGGGGTAGTGTAGACATACCCTAGGACATGTGGTCAGGCCACTTGATGCTGGAACCCATTTTGGATCTTGTACTTTTCCACTCAAGGTGAGAAAAGTTTGAACTGAACACAATTCCTGCCTTGGGAATGCATAGCCAACAATTAATCAACATAACAATGCATGATGCCAACTTCAATGTTATGCAACAAGTTGCCTGTAAAGTACAATATAATCTGATAATAAATGAATGCAATATATAGACAAAGGTTGCCAACCTTTCAGGATTGTCCTAGAATCCAAGGAGTTAAAGATTAATCATTAATTGAAGATTATGCCAAGTGATGAAAACACCAGGAATACATCCAACCAAAATTAGCAACTCTACCAAATGATGAAAACACCAGGAATACATCCAACCAAAATTAGCAACTCTAATACAGCTCTCTCATAGCATGGTTAAACTTAAAAGTAGATATGATTTGAGGTTGAGTTTTTTTTACTTACTCATGAATACTTATTCAAATATTCTGTATGAAAGGTTTAAATTAAAAAATCAAAGGTATATTCATAAACATCTGAAGCACTTAGAAACCTACAAGGTGTGACAGACCCAGACCAGTTGGCTACCACAGTCTGATGGAAGGTAGATATGCTGGCCTCTGAGTGGACAGTTTTCTCTTCCATGAGAACCAGGGCAGAGGCTGCTGCAGCATAATCAGGAAGAGCCTGGGGCTAATTCAAAGCTTGCCTGAAGCAGCAGACTAATTAGAACACCTGCAGCCCATTAAGGATTTGCTGGAGCAAGTTTAAAAGGCTTCCCTTCAGGGTGGGCCAGCAGGCTAAGGACCGGAAGAGAGGAGGGGGAAAGAGGAGGAGAAGAAAGACATGGTCTAGTGCCAGGAGAAAGGTATGGGGAGGAGTTGGTTGGGGGAGGTGACTCAAGGAAAAGCTGCATCTCTAGTGATGGAGGAATTACTACCTGCTGCTGCTGTTGCTGCAGCCATTAGGGTCCCTTGGCTTGAACCTGGAGCAGAGGGTGGGCCTGGATTCCCCCAATTCCTCCCCACACCACTACAAAGACTACTGCTGAAGAGGGAATTTGGGACTAAAGAGGAGTTTACCCCAAACCTGTTGGACTGGCCTATAATGAAGATGTCTCAGTACGCTGTGACCCTTGCCTCTAGTAAAGGGCAAGAGGCTATGTGGAGGTGCCCCTGTCAGCCTCTGAGGCAAACACTATCCCCCTAGAAGCTCAGGATCCCCTGAGGCAAGGCCAGCGCTCTGCCACACAAGTTATTTTGACCCTACTGACATAATCTGATTTTATGCATACATTTCACAGGACAAAAGGCTCCACACCCAGAAGTGGTTACTAAATATGGGAAACTGCGAGGACAGCAAATCAAAGTTGATGGAGCTGAAAGATCTGTAAAGGTTTTTCTGGGAATACCTTTTGCAAAGCCACCTGTTGGACCGTTGCGATTTTCCCCACCGGAACCAGCTGAGCCATGGAAGGGCCTCAGAGATGCAACTTTCTACCCACCCATGTAAGACAACGACATGAACATTTGGATGGGTAGGAATGTGTAATGTGGAAAACACGGGGGGTGCATCTAGACCGGCAAGATTTTGTGCAAAAGCGGCCGCTTTTCCGCAAAAACTTGCCAGCTGTCTACACTGGCCGCTTGAATTTGCGCAAGAACACTGACGATCTAATGTAAGATTGTCAGTGTTCTTGCGCAAATACTTTGACGCTTCCGCTCAAGAAAAAGCCCTCTTGCGCAAATGTATTTGCGCAAGAGGGTCAGTGTAGACAGGCAACATGAATTTATTGCGATCGCGGCTTTCTTGCACGAAATCGCGTCTATACTGGCCATGGATGCTTTTGCGCAAAAGCACTTTGTCACGGGTGCCTTTGTGCAAAATCTAGATGCTCTTTTGCAGAAATACTTTTAATGGAAAAACTTTTCCGTTAAAAGCATTTCCGCAAAATCATGCCTGTCTAGACACAGCACCTGAGTGTCAGCATTATATGTCTACACTTGCACCCTAGTTTGAACTAGAGATGCCAATGCAGGCATTCAAAATTGTCAGTGAAGTGGGGATTTAACTATCCTGCGCTTCATTAGCATGATCTCGCTGGTGCATTACTCCGAATTCCAGCTTTTTCAAAAGTGAAACGTGCTGGAGAGATCATGCCAATGAAGCATGGGATATTTAAATCCCCACTTCATTGAACATTTCAAATGCCTGCATTTGCGTCCCTAGTTCAAACTAGAGTGCAAGTGTAAACATACGCTAAGGGAAAAATAAGTCTAGTGAAATAAGCTGTGGTGGAACTGTTTAATTGGGGTTTGTTAGTGCCTCTAGACTGTTAATTTAAGTTTTAAAGGTATGTCCCAGAATATTGATTTGGCTTTAGAAACAGACCACTCCTACTCTTCATCAATTATGTTTTCCTCAGTGATTTTTAAATTTCCAATAA